CAGTTCAGACCTGCTGCTGTGTGGAGGGAGGAGGGGGGGAGGGGGTTAGAGCGTTGCCGGGTAACCCAGCACACAGCTGCAACGGATACTTGGTTTAACTGTCAAATCAGGCGAAGTAAGCAGAAGGAGAAGACCTCAAGCAACCACCATTTTTTTCAAAACCGTGTGTCGGAGAGAAAAGCGGAGTTCATTTTCAGAAAGCCAAGACCTTGGGCATTACAGAGATGTATTTTTTGTTTTCCTGGAGTAAAAAATGAGCGCACAATCATTTGAGGAGAAATGTGTGAATTTGTGGTCGTTGAGAAAAATCAGGAGCCGTCTTTGAATGGGGGCAGATGGGGAAGGAAGAGAGACTTGTGGAGGAACAAGGCTCCAAAACCCCCCCAAACTTAATTCTGTGGGCTTCCAAAGTGAGATTGTGAGAGGGAGGACAAATTTTCCTACGTTTTGATGTGAAAATGATGTCTGTCACAGAAAAATTGCGGCCAGGGCGACAAGTTAAAAATAAATTTACTGTGTGATATTTTTCTGAGCTCCCAGTCTGGTGATGTCATCACTCACTCTAAAGGACCACATACACACCCATTGTAAAGGCTGAAAACGGGTGAAAAGTTTCAAAACTTGAGAGGTTGTCACGAAGAAACGATTGAAGATATGAAAAAAGTAGAAAGACTTTGAAATTGGAGAAGGCTGCGTCAACATTTTAAACTTTAAATGGAGTCTCTAGGTGAAAGTATGCCTGAGCAGTGGAGGTTTGAAAAGTGTAATTTTGGGTGGTTTTCACATCCGTCCCTTTCATTTCATGACATATGCCTTTGATAGTCATGACATCATCTGTGATGTCATAGAGTACCTAATAAATACATGTGTTTTCCGAAAACAATGATTTTTGGATTTCAGACTTTCTAAATTTTATCATCTAACTCTTGTTTTTAAAATGGATGACAACTACCATTGCATTGCCACAGGAACCGAAATCTTTTCCTCGTCCTCACGATACATCATTGAGGACGTAATTGGAAAAGGAGCCTTTGCACTAGTTGCTAGGTGTCATAAGTCGGACACCAAAAAAGCGGTGGCTGTGAAAATCATGAAGAACACTCATATGCAGCAGGCACTGGCAGAGGAGGCTGTCCTCACAGAGTTGAAGGCTTTCGACCCAGACAGGTTCAACTTTATACGGTGGGAAACCTCCTTTTCCTTTCGAGACCTTCTCTGTCAGGAGTTTGAACTTCTTGACTGCAGCCTGAGGAAATTTATGATGATGAGACAGCCATCCACACTTTCCCTCACAGAGATCCGGCCGATTTTACAGCAGTTGGCCACAGCTCTCAATGTCCTCAAGAGCTTGGGGATCTCGCACACAGATCTCCACCCAGAAAACATCATGCTGGTGAACCATGTACAGCTGCCACTGAAAGTGAAAATTATAGACTTTGGCCTCTCTGGCCATACCTCCCAATTACAACAGGGCACATACAAACAGCCCAGGTGGTACCGGGCACCCGAGACAATCTTGGGTCTTCCCTGTGATGAGGCCATAGACATGTGGTCCCTGGGCTGTATTGCAGTCGAGATGTTCCAGGGACTTGCCCTTTACCCTGGAGACTGTGAGTATGACATTCTGTCGTTTGTTACACAGACTCACGGGCAGCTTCCAGAGTATGTCCTCAGCTTTGGACTGAACACAGACATTTTCTATAAAAGGTTGACACATCAGTGGCAACTCAAGACAGAACAAGAATACGGAACCATGAGGTCGACGGGGTGCATCCTCAACAGCCTGGATGACCTGAAACTATTCCCTCAGAACCACGTCAGTCCTCAGTCAGAAGAAGATGTCATGGCAGGAAAGGCTGATCTCGAATGCTTTGTGGCACTGGTCAAGCAGATGCTTGAAGTGGATTCCAGTAAAAGAATAAAGCCCTGCCAGATGCTGGAGCATCCCTTTATTACACTGGGACATTGGAGATCATTGAACTCTAGTAACTATGTTCGTTCAAGTTTATTCTCAATGAGCATCTGCAATCCACAGACATCGAGCAGAGACAATCAAACTCAGATGACTACAATGCAGCCAGCCTTTCAAATTCAGATGTCCACTGCGCAGTTACCCTCTACAAGTCAGATATGTATCCCCCAAACACCCTCTGCGATGACCACACTGCAGCTGCCCTCCAAAACCCAAACATCTGCCCCCCAGTCACACACCAACAATCACAGATCCACCCAAACACCAAAATCCAAATTAAAGAGGCCCAGGAAGCAAGGCCCAGTATTAAGAAAGTCCAGTATCTCCCCACCAAGAAAGAGGAGACGGATCAGCGAAGGGAGAACCCTTCAA